ATTTCATGTATCACTCCCAAATGGATCATTTCTGGGTAGCCTTTTCCTAAAAGATCCTTTTCCACCAAATAGACCCCTAACCATAATTTCAGATCCACTTCAGAGAAGCTCTTTTTGACATTCCTAGCCATGCCCCCTACTCCAAGCAGAATTAGTCACCCCTTTTCCTGTGCTCCCACAGCCCTTTATACTAACCTTTGTTGTTGCCTGATGACATAGTTTATATTTACCTTTTTAGTATCTAGAAATCTCCCCATTGGAAAGCTGAGCAGCATATGGGTATTTGCCCTAACCAGGAAGAGCTTGCAGGTGGAGTTGGTGATTCAGGAGCAGAAGAAAGTTGGAACTAGAGTGGCAAAAAAGAGGAAATGAACCCAAGTGTCCCAAACTCTACCCATAACTCTCCCTTCTGAAAGGAGTGTCTTAAAAATAATCCAGTACTGCATTTGGAAGAATACAGATCCCAAAGGATAGGATGATAGCACAGAGGGTTCTGATCCCATGGGGACTGGATAGTAGGGGGTTCACTTTGGTAGACAGAGCACAACAGCAGAAAAAGCCCAGGGGGAACAGTACTCGAAGACAGGTGAGTTGAGGCATCAAGACACTGAGTCATTGACTACTAGTGACAGGACCCATATAGCAAGAGAAAGGTTAAAAAAAAAAAAAATATATATATATATATATATACATATATACACACCACAGTTAATTAATACCACAGTTCAGTGGGAAAGTTCAGGGAAAGAGAAACGCTTAGAGGATATGTAACAGTGCTCATGGAACAACAGTGCTCTGGACAAGAGACTAATATCGGTCCCCATCAGAGAGTGAAAGTTAAACTCCTATATGAGTTTTTGTCTTCATCAAGTATGGCTCAAGAATTAGGGACCATCATGAACTAGACCAGCATGGGAGGAATCTGGGATAAAGAAGCAAAGCGTGGTGGAAGATACACAGGCAAGGGAGAAGGAACCTTTCTCAAGTTTACATTTCCATCACCCAGCAAACTGCCTGATCCACACTAAACAGTCAGGAGAAATTTGTGAGAATGCAGTTTAGGAGAGAGAGTTCCAGATACCTTTTCATCATTTTGGCAGGTAACGCTCAGCTTTCTTGGCCAGACCCTGTTTACTGGAACCCTTCTTACACTGGCACAGGGAAAGTACAACCCCCACCCCATACACATACTGTTCCTCATTACCAAGAAAAATGACAGCTTGATGGTCTTCCAGTAAGACAGAACCATCTATTTCATTTAGAAGTTTGGTAATTGATTAGGGCAATAGATTTTCTTCAGGGTAACCTCTCTGGGACAGTCTGGCTGGGGCATAAGATTTACATATATCAGGCTGCAAAGTTTGTCTTAGAGGATGAGATCACAAGGCCATTACTGGGGGAGGCGAGTGCCGAGAGGGTGAGAAGGCAGAGTGGAGTTCCCAGACATCATTTCTCAACAGTGAGAGCCTTGGCTAGCTCAAAATGATTTTAAGTAGTTGTCGGTAACTTTTAGGTAAATCCACTACCAAAGGTCAGTTGACACTGGGATGTGATCATATCAAGTGGTTCTTTGAGGGTGTCTGTAGATAAAGCCTCAATGTATTTGGACCCCTAAAGTTACCATTAGCCTCTGTGTTCCCTCAACTGAGATGTGTCCAGTACTAGCTATGCTGGGGCTGCACCCCAACCATAGCAAAGCAGTATCCTGAGAGTTCATTTCACAGGTCTACTGCAAAGCCAAGCAGGGAAGCTTTTAGCAAACACTCACTCCCTATTAAGATACCACTTGGGACATCCAATCTTATATCCCACCCCATCATTTACTTCTAACTCTGAATGTCTCTCATTCAAGCCCACTTTAGGGAAAAGCTTAGTCATTTGCTCCTGCTATAAATATGCCATTTGTCATCTTTCTCAGAGAAAACTTTAAGTCACATCACCAACTCTCTGATCATTAAACTGATGAAAGGCCAGTCCCTAATAAGAACAAAGATGCTTCCATGATAAAGATGGAATCTGTGGCATTGGATGAATCAATAATGTAATCGTGCTGCATTCTAACTTTTATGATGAACTTCCTTTCTTTGGTCATGACACCACCCTCTAAATCTGTTGAGGTCAACAGATTCAATTAGAAAATTGACTGTGATACACAGAAGTATGAATTTAGTCCTAAATGCAAAGGTCAAAATATGAGTGTTCTAGATATTACCTACATATACCTAAGAATTGATGGGTTGGGTCTATATCACCTGATTCCAGTGTCTGAACACTTCCAAGAAGTCTCGGGACTATGACTTTACAAATAATAGGGGCACAAAGTTATCTTTGGTTAGCCTAAGAAAATGAGATACTCATCTAGGGGCTGCCGTTTTTACTGCCTCTACTCAGACTTTTGAAGGAGGAAATTTCTCCCATGATCACTGGAAATAGATCAAATTTGCATTGCACCTAGAGACTAATGGAACAGCATCTCCACCCTCTTCTTCCACACCCAGAGGATTTTCTGCCTGAAGAGGTGAAGAACTATAATCTTTCATGGGTAGTGATCTTATTCTTTCTGCCCTACAGTTCCAAATTTTATCTCTGGAACTAACAAGTAGGTTCTCACCAGACTAATAGCATCTGCCAGAAGTTCAAAAAATACCTAGATGATATTATAAAGATAAAAATCCACTCTGATGAAATGTTAAACAGGTCTTGTAGATGAACTTACTTCACTGGAAAAGTCTGTAGATGCTCTAAATTGCACCTGATTAATGTTTGTTGTACACAGGATGACATTGGGAAGTGTACCTATTGGTCAGCAAATTTTACTCAGCATCTATGGCATACAACGTTTAATTCTACAGGGTATTCAAGGATGGATAAAACCCAGTTCATGCCCTCAAGGTACAAGTTGGAAAACGCCATGGAGTAATTACCACAATCTCTCCATTGCTTGCCCAGCACTCAGGTATCACTAATATTGATTGCCAAATATTGATTGCCACATTAATAAATAGACTTAGTTATATGCATCATGGCTACTTTCTTCCCACTCCCCCCTACTAATTTATCAAAATTAGAGATATCAAATCAGGTTCAGTCTTTGAAACTCAATATGAGAACCCTAGGAATCTTATTAAGTATAGTGACTGCGCTGATTCTTCCAGGACAGGTTGAGAAGACCTTTTGATCAGATTCACAGCACAGCACCCACCCATGAATTAAGGTGACCTGTGGTATGTGCTTGGCATTACCACAATGTCTTGCACTGTATAGTTTACCTACAAACACTTTTTTGATGAATGATTGACAATGAAAGAGTTTTTAAGTGTTCTGAATGAAACTATGGATTCTGGATATTATGATTTTAAAATAATGTCATACAGATGATAGTATCACTGAGCTGAAATTAATTTTAGGTATCAATAATAATAAACGATATAGACAGAGACAGCTAAAGATCTGGGTTCTGCCTTCACAATACTAATAGTATCTGGCCAAGCTGATCTTGGGCAGCTCTTCTCATCTTTCAGAGCTTACATTTAATTATGAAGTAGACTTGGAAATGAGAGACAAAAGAGTCGCAGGAGAAGGTATTGAGGAAGAACAAAGCAGTGTGCAGGCAACCTCTGTAGCTCAATCCCAGATGCATGTGGCCTGGAAAGAAGCCCTGGGAAGCAGCCCTGGGCCAGGGAATGAGGTGGTGCCACTCATCACAAGAAACTCATCACAAGGCTGCAGGGAAAGAGGGATTCCAGCTGAGTTGCTCTTAGAAATAAAGCAAAACATACTCCACCTTCCTCTCCTTTTGAATATCTCATGGACCAGCACCCCATATACCCAAACCACTCTGGTAACTATAAGAAATGCTAATTGTAAAAATTCAAAATCAGTAAGCAGTGTAAAATTTTAATAAACATATGAGTTAGTCATTTGTCCCTAAATCCCCTTTCTGAGATTTCCCCTTATGAAACATTTGAACACTTGGGTGGGAGGAGCTCTGCTACATCAGGTATAAAGCTGTGTTGATATAGGGTCAGAGAGGAGAAAAGTAAGTTAAACTCATCCAGAATTATAAAATGCCTTGTTTCCCCTCTTATTTCCTTTTATTTTCTCCCCACTCCCTCCTTCACTTTCTTCCTCCACTGAATTTCAATCACAATTATAAAATGAAAACATCACTTGAGAAATATTTTGGAGACCTTGGTTCCTACCACCACAAAAACATGTCACTAAAATAAGTGTGGGGACTTTCTAAGTCATTTCATTTCTTTGACCCTCAGCTTCCTCGTTTATAAAATAGAGTCTGAATACATTGATGAATTCTCAAATGCTGCTTCAAATAAGAAATAGTGTTTCCAGATCTTTGTGCTCAACCAGAAAAATCTTATCTTTAACTGAGAGAAAAGACTCTGTAATAGTTCATCTGAAAAGAACAAAGGCATCTGTGTGCTTCTCAACAACAACAACAAAAAAAAAAATTAGCCACTGGACTATTTGATCTCAAAAGTCCTTTCCTCCTCTAGAGCTGTAGGGTTCTACCACATTATTTCTGTCATATGAATGACATTGTGCTCCATGCAGCAAAGCAAAAACAGAAGAAGATTAAGACTGAGTCTGTGGCTCTAAGCAGCTCATTCAGCTCCAAGATTACCTATGAAGTCAGTTCAGTGACAGAGGCATCAAGAGACACAGCACCCTAAGAACAATCCAAGTCAGCTGCTGTGAGCAGAGAAATGTCATAGACCACAGAACTCAATTTTTAGTATTCTACTGAAAACTGTATTCTCCCTTTCCCTTGAAAGGAATATAAACTAAATTTGTAGATGTGCTAAAAAGAATTCACTGGTTTCAGAAAAAATTAGAAATTAAACAGCTTGCCCAAGACATCTTTGATCTTCTAGAAGAGGAAGGTTGGGCTAATTGTTCCCCCATGCATGGTGCCACCTGATCACAAAAGGTAGCAAGTCTCCTGGATCAACATACAATCTGAGGCAATGCTCACAGCTCACCAAAGGGCACAGTGGAGCTCAGGTCCCATATCCATTTTGGTGGGCTTAATAATGACGACGGAGTCTTTCCCACGAATTCATCTGAGTCTAGTTAGCTCAGGGAAGACCGCCTGAGTCAGCAGCAGGGCAGACCAAGTGACCTCCCAAAGCAACTTCTCATGAGATGCAGCCCTGGCTGACTCGGTTTGGCTGGAATTCCGAGACATTCCAATATCTGCACAGAGGGCAGGTCCTCACCCCAGCCAAGCTGACCTCAGCCTTCCCCCTCCCAGTAGATAATTACGCCTTTAGGTCTCCAAAGTCAGCCCTGTTGTGGGTAACCCTTGGAAGTGACAAGCAGTTTTCTGATGGGAATTAAAGGATCTGGAGTGGCCAAAAGGCTTCTCGGCAGGAGGGTTTGTTATTCTTTTAATTGTGGCATTAAACCTCAGGCTAGCATTACATAAACATTCATGCTGCTATCCCCAACTTGCAAAATTAGCTTCTTTTGACAGGCTTTATCATGGCCAGGGCCAATCTTACCCGGAGGTGAAGGCAGCTACCAATTCTGAGTTAGGATTTGTAAATCCTGGAACTCCATAACCTGACCTTCCCTTTTAGGGCTTTCTTGCCTTTTGATTGATGCCTGAAATTCTACCTTTGGGATTTTGGCCATTCTACTGAAAACTATAATCTCTCTTTCCCTGGGAGGGAATATAAACTAAGTTCATAGATATGCAAAAACTAATTCATTTATTTCAAAGAACAATTAGAAAATAAACAACTTGTCCAAGAGGGCAAATGCTGTAAAACTAACATGCTTCATTGGGACTATTGTAGGTCATTGAACTGGAATCCCAAATAAATACCGTATCTTAACTTCAGCATCTTAAAGTGTATATCCCAACTATAAAATAAATAATGATAATAATAGCAAACAAAATCTAGATTCAGTCTGTTTTCCACCCCATCTTATGAAATAAGAAATAGGAGATATAATATAGCCTAATATAGCCCCTCGATTGCAAACCCTTTCTTTTAAGAAGCTATTACCACTACACCACACAGGACTTCTGAAATGTCTTTGAGATGCCTATCTCCCAGCGCCTGTAGTGTTCTCCATATGCTTTCCCTTTCACCCACTTTAGCTTTCAGGCTTTAATAAGTACTATGATTTTTGAAAATAAATAATAATTATTTTCAATTACACATTCATTGTTTGCATGCAGCCAGTATTGAACTCCAGCATAATTTTTCTATGACAGCATTTGTATTCTTTCATTTATTCATTGTTTGGTTACCAACTACCAGTGATATGCTAGACACTAGCAAAAAGAAAATGTCCCAGCCCATGTTCATAGTCTGCAGGTGAAATAGTTACCTATTTAGTAGCAAAATAGTTCTGCAACTGCTCGGATTGAGGGGTGACAGCAGGAGCTCAGAGGAAGGGACTTCTTAACTTGCTAGAGCCCCAGGCAGAGCTTCACAGAGGACTGACTCAAGGTGCCTGTGTCTGGAATCAGCCTCTGGTGGTCAGAGATTAAGATATTATGGCCAGAGTTCACCCTTCTTTCATGCTTTCACAAAGAGATGGATAGTCTAGGGGAGGAGAGTTGAAATTTTTTTTTGAGTTCTTTTCTTACAAAAACAAAACAAGAGAATCTCAGATTTTTAGACATCTCTTCAGCAAAGTGTCTCCTTAGCTCCTTCTCCCTGGAGAGCAAAGCCAAGGGCAAGCAAGCTGGTTTGCACAGGTGTCAGGGAAAACAAGATGCGTTCTTCGTGCTTCTGGCAAGCTGAGTCCCCCCTGGCAGAGGGCCAACCTGGTGGCATGCAAGTAATATAATACACAATCTAAATGCAAGCATTTGGGGCCTGTTTGGGGAATCAATTAACAATAAGCATATACATCCATTTATAAAATTGTAGTGTGCTAGAATACACCCACGTTGTAATTGGAAACTAAAATAATACCAGGAGGAATAATCATTAGAAAATCTTTTCCAAAAAGCCAAGAATAATATTAAGAAAATAAAATAAAAAATGCCGTCCATCTGCAGAGTTACAGTATATCCTTAGGGAAGTACTACACAGCACACTAACAAGCAACTGAATCCATGTATAAATGAACTGAAATCCGCAAAGGCAACAAAAGGCGAGATGGGGAGTGGACTAAAAAATCTCCCTTGTAGATTAGCTACCCCAAATCAAGCACAGTTCCATTTGATCGCTTTCTGTAGGAAATGGGATGCTCCGAGGCTGGGCATGACCCTCTAGGGAAATTATTCTTTATCTGCCCTTTCTCAGGGTCCTCCACATTAGTTTCTGAACCCACCTCCACACCCCATGCCTTGCCTGAGCCTGAGCCTCTCCCCTCACACCTCACTCAAGCCCCCAGGGGGAATCTCAGACCTGTCATTTACTGTTCACTGCCAGCTGGGGAACAGTCTTAGCAGAAAACTAACTGGGATAAAGGAACAGAGCAAACATAAAGAAGAAGAGAATGTATAAACCACAACCTGAGTACTTGGCCATCAAAACAATGCTAAGCCAAGTATATTCTGGTCGGGGACTCCAGGGAAATCCCACTCCTACCGAGCTTTCCAGATCTGTTGTCCTTGGAGGCCCATCAAGTTCTAGGACTTGGAAGCTTGCTATGCAGTCATTTTAGGTTCTGCATTAAGGTGAGCTCTCTTAGTGCCATGAGAGTCAGGTGGGATCCCAGAGCTAAGAATTATTAGACTGATGACACCAAGAGCTGGCAGTGGCACCAAGCTACCTGCTCAGCTCCTCTGGGCATGCTCAGACCTTCACACACATAGACAGAGACTGGCAGCTGCTGCCATCTTCACACACTGGAAATAACACCTGTGGCATGTTTAGAGCTCTTTTGGCCAGTGGGTGTGACTTGTATATACCACTCAGTTTAATTCCTGGAAAGTGGGAACCATGTTTGGTATTGTCCTTAGAGACTAAAAGGATGTTTTAAGCATAATCTTGGGATAATCTACTTTATCCTGTTGCTCTCAGTATCAGACACTGCTTCCCCCATTGGTATGGGTGACTGAGATGCTGCAGAAGCAAAGGAAAAAGTTCATCATAAAATACACATTGAGTCTGTACTGAGGGTAAAGCCTAGCTTCAACTTTCAAAGGAATATGCATGCCAGATATGGCAGTGCAAACCTGTAATCCCAGTACTCCGCTGACAGAGGCAGGATTGCCACACGTTCAAGGCCAGCCTGGGCTACATAGAGTTCAAGGTCAAAATACATAGAGAGACCCCTGTTTCAAATAATGATGATAATGATAATAATAATGATAATAGTATGCTTGATTTTTGAGAAATCACCTGATGGAAAACTGGGGTGATGGGAGGTACGGTTCACGGAGCCAGGCCACAATTAGGCCAATGATGTGAGTCAGCTATTCAGAGTTCAGACACACTGGAGGAGCCAGTGGGGAAAAGGAGGCACACTCATCACCACTGCAGGGAGAAATGGCTTCCTACAATAGTAATAATCATGATAACACCGGTTTATATTTGCACTGGGCTTTGCCATGTACTAAGTCCTTTCCCTTATCTTTTCACAATTACCTACAAATTAGGTAAATTGTTCCCTCTAGGTCTATGGAGCAGGAAATGGATGTTCCCAGAGGTTAAGTGAATGGCCTCAGGTCACACAGCTGTATGTGTGAGAAGCTGGGTTTTCTGTTGCTGAAATTTCATGCTCTCCCCAGGATGCCACATTGCTTCTGGTCCTGTGAGCCACACCTCTTCAGGATGGAAACTGCCAGAAACACATTTCTCTACCAAGATCTAAGTTATTTCACAGGCATAAAATTTGTTCCATAAATTTTAATGTTAAAGAATAGAAAGAAATGCAGTTTTACATATATTTAGCCAATCATCCAGTTATTATTCAGTGCATAGTGCTGTGCAAAACCATCATGCCAGACACTGTGGGGGGGAGAAAGGTTATGCTCAAGGAAGGACCATGGACCCTTGAGCTGGACCTCCCATCAGTTACCTAGGTTTCTATAAGGTGATCTATTCACAGTCATACACATTAGTGCATTCATATTTTAAAGGGAATTTTTGAGAGCTGATACAATGTCTGGCTCCAGTGACCTTTAAAATCTATTGTATTCCCTAAACCAGTAATTTGCAAAATTTAATGAGCATCAAAATCACTTAGTGAGTGTGTCAAAATGCAGGTTTATGCAGAATCAAAACCTCTGCGGTTGGGCCATCAAATCTGCACTCATACCAAACAGCCAGATGATTTGGAGACTCAAAGATGGCGGAGGCAGAAAGGAGCATGCCTGGGGAGGAATGTGGACAGCAGCGTATCACAGACAGGGAAGAGGAATTTGATTTAAGCATCATCACTTTTTTAGCAGACATTTCAATTTGGGGCAGCTTGCCATGGTGGAAGTCCTGGACTGAAAGTCAAGACACAGAATTTCTAGTTCTGGCTCGCCATCGGTCCCTTATATAATGTAAAGCAGTCATTTGGTTTCCTGACCTCAGTTTGCAGCTTCTTACCAGTGGAGGTAACAGTCCTTCTTATGAGTTTCTTGTGGATTTCCAATGGAAGTGTGGATGCTACCGCACCTTAGGAAATGTAAGCTGAAGTCATCAAGTTCTAGGACTGATATGCTACTAAAAAGAAGCACAGGCACACAGGCACAGGGTGAAGAGCCAACACAGCCAAATTCTAGAAACACAAATACTATGCGCCTGTGAGAAAATGTCCAGCTCAGCTCGTAGTGATAAACTTGAGAAGGTAGCCCCTAAAGGCTTGCCCTTAACACGAAAGTCCAAAGTGAGTTTTGACCCTGTCACCTTAGGTGCAGCAGCTTTCCGGCACCATCCTTCAGTTCCAGTCTCTCATGCTGCTGGAGATAGCCCCCAGCTCAGGGGCAGAACAGCCCTACATAACTCACTACCGGGAATGGAAATGCCACAAAGCACATTTAATTCAGCACTGACAGTTCCCGGGAAACAGGCCTAGTTCTCCATCGACCTTGAAAATAAGCTGATGGTTTTGGTAATAAGACTTTCTTCAGGAAATTCCATTCATGTATTCATTCATTTATTCTAGATGGCAAATATTTATTGACTTTTTTTTTTTTACAGTATGCTTGTTGCTGTTGTTGTTTGCTGTGTGTGGATTTCTGTTTGCTTGCTTGCTAGCTTTCTTGCAGCTTTCACCTGATTTCCCGATTCTCACTGACAAGCAGGTCATTAGAAAATCATATTACCCAACAGCTATACCCCACTGC